TGTTCTTTCTCTGGCTAGTAGCTGTGGTTTGGTTGCTTCCTTGAACTTCTGCTCCAACACAGTGTAATGGAAAACACCAGTCATCTTCTGCACCCTCTGAGAGAGGCAGAGAGAAGGCACAGAGTGGGAGCCTGCCCCCATCTTTTTTTTCTTAAGCCCCTACTCTCCTACTGGGACAGGCTGCTCCACCAAGCCTCCCGATTTCAGAAAATCTCTGGCCAGAGACACGTGCCCACCCATCTCCTATATACTGCCACACTGGATAGCTTGGCCCCAGGGGAAGGGATATTAGGGTAAGAAGGTGCTGTAAGACCACCCCCTCCAGCAGAGAAAGGAAAACACAATAACTTATCCTTATGGGAACTGCAGAGATTTTTTCCACCATCCACCACTTGAAAAATGCAGATGTTGTTCCTACCACACACACAGCTAAAGCAAGCTCTCCAGCTGAATCAGGCTATGCTACGAGGTCTGCTCCTTGGCTCCTGTAATCTAGCAGATCCAATAGTGCCCAGAATGTTTTGGGTAAATCAGTATGCAATATGGGGCCTATGGCAAGCCCTGATAAGAGAATCGCAGCAGAGCCTGCTAGGACGTGACAAATAGTGCCAAACAGCAACCAGTATAGAGTGCTGTTTCTCCCATTGCCAAGAGTTTGCAAGTCTGGTAACAAAAGGATGGAAATAAAGGCGATGCCTCTCATAATTACACCTGACCCATCTGCAGCTCTGATCTCTGCTGGTTTAGAAGTTTAGCTCCCTAGAAGAAACACATCCAGTGTGGGATGAAACAATGGATCCACTTAATTTAAGCCACTCTTAGCTCCTGGAGCCGTGTAGAATAGGTGGTGATGGTTCATGCTACAGAATGAGGATAGGGAGAAGTATGGATGAGACCAGGAGATCCCCTAAGGTGACTTCTTACACTACAACCCTGAGGGGGTCCATGACACAGCAGTGAAACCCTACAAAGGACTGCCTAGGGCTCTGACGCCTCAGGAATGAAGGACTGAGCCTGCCCAGTAGGAAAGGCAAAAGGAATATGGGATTGACAGAGAAGGCATAAACAAACAGGACCACCCCATGGCTATGTCAGAATGAGGACTGTACGTTCCACCTGTATTTCTCTGCTGTCTTTTTTATTCATTTATTTAATTCTCTCATCTCTTCTTTAGTATTGTAAATAGGGTAGAGTGGTGGTGGTGAATTCACCACTGAGGTCATAGAATTGTAGAACAGTAATATCAAGTTGGGATAATGGCAGAACTTAAACTATAAACAGAGAACTAATGACCTCACCTCTGACTATGGTAATTAGAAGTGTTTGTATGTGTTGTATCTCTCTGGGTAGTTTGTGGTTATACACAGAGTAATTAAATTAAGCCGGGCCAGCATTTTTGGAATCACGTGATTGGAAAGATGTTTGTGCATGCTAGAAATCCAAGGAGTGGAAGGCAATGATTGTCTCTATTGCTTTTCTGTCTTCCTAACATCCCCTCCTTTTGAAAACTGCTGAAAATCATGGGGATTTACTACTCCAGGACACAGAATACTTGGGGTAGAAATAGAGGTGACGGAAAGACATTAGTATCCAGGAAAGCCCCAGAATATTGGCTATCCTTGCCTATCCTGGAACCTCCACTTTTTAAGGCTTTGGTTTTACCTTGTCCAGAATCATTCAGATTATTTGGCTCAACAAAAATTGAAATTATGAACTTAGGAACTCAGGAATGAAGGACTGAATCTGCCCAGTAGGAAAGGCAAAGGAATGTGGGATTGACAGAGAGAGAAAGCCTAAACAGGACCCAAGCATTTTTAGTGTAAAATTTGCAAAGTAAAATACGCTTACACTAAAACCAGTAAAGGAAATAAGTTTCCAAGCATTTTTCAGGAAGAATTTGAAGCACGCTCTTATATTTCCAGTAGAACTACCAAAGTGGGAACTTGTGGGAAATCATGTCTTGAAAGACATAGTGACAGAAAGACAGAAAGACAGACCACTCCCACCCCTATCCTGGGGATGACATTCTAGAAACAGTCTCTCTGAGTTGCTGGAAAAGGGGAGTCAATGTCAGTAAGTCATTCAGGTCACTGGAACCAGTCTGCGTCTAAAGGCAATCACGGAACTATACAAGGAAGGGGATCAAGAGTCACCACAGAAGCCCAGCCTGCGGACCAGTCTGGGGAGATCCAGGGCCTGGAACCTGCTGCCTATAATATCAGAAGTTTGGTCATGTTGAGATAGAGCAGGGAAATGGGGCAAGGGTCATGTCATTGTAAAATCTACTTAGCCTGTGAAAAAGGCCCAGTTTGTTCTTTAACTTAACCTATATGCTGTTCTTCCTCTTCTTCCAGCCCCTTAAATCAATTAGTAACTGTAAGCAGGACAAGAGAGACCTCCAGGGTATCAATGAACCTACATGGGTAAATAATGCTGAGATCTGGACCAACACAGTCACTTAAATAACCCTATTCAAGACAAAACTTCCAAGGAATTATGAATCACCTAGATACATCATGCTTTATATAACCCTCTATCCAAAAGGCCCTACAACACCCCAAACCTTAAATCCTTAAGTGTGCCTCCTCTCTGAGGTCGCCCACCCTCCCGTCTGAGTGTGTACTGTCTTGTATCAAATAAGCTTTCTTCTTGCTAAGCCAGCTGCACTTGTCTTTGACTCTTTTCCATGATAAGGACAAGAACAGTCCAATCTCCACCGCTGGTGGTAAATGTCTTTGTCACTGTACTATTTCATTCAGCTTCCTAGTCTTAACAGAATCATTTTCTCTCTCCGTGTTTTAATTTAAACCAGTAGGTAAGTGGAAGTTCTCAAAATACAAACTCACTCTGTCCAATGCTCTGTGGCTCCCCCAAATTCTGGAGTGGTAGGGATGTAATTCCCTTGCCATGCTGATCCAGTGGACACTGGATGCCCGGTGACCCTGGCTTTAGGAGTTGGCAAGAGATTTTTCCCTATGCTCAGCAGTTCAGTGACCTTCCGTTTCCTCCCTCTGGACTTCCTTGCTCTCGGCTGCCTGCATGCCTGCTGACATTCGCTTCTACTCTTGCTTTAATGAATTCCTTCCTTATCTACACTCATCCGACCTGTTTGTGAATTCTTTCTCAATTAGAGTCCGGAACCCTCCTCTGTCCAAGTTGAAGTTTCACCTTGTGCGCAGGGAGAGACCTCCCCAGATGCAGCTGCCTGACCTTGTCAGGAGAGGACCAGGAGTCCAGGTAGAAAGACCTGGTATGTAAGAGAGGAGCTCTCTTCCATCTGGTGCTTTCAGAGAACTGCATCTTTGGGAAAGTCTGAGTTAAAGGACATTTTCTGGTGTTCTAGGGCAGTGTTAGCAGTGCTCAAGAGAACCGCACCTAACTACAATGAAGCCTGTGCCAGAAGTTGCCAGAGGTAATCAGCTCATGAAGGTGGTACAATTGTGGAAGTGAGGAGGTTCCTAAGTCTGAGGAAGCTATAGTTTCGCTGGCTTTTTTTTTTTTTTTTTGGTGGGGGGCTGTAGGGTAAGAGAAATTATATCTGCAGTTAATCAGGGGAAATGATTTGAAAAGTAAAAACCATGAAACCAAAACCCTGTGCTCTTTGCAAGTTAGAATTTTAGAACTGTCTCTTTAGAAACCATGTGTATTTTCTGTTAATGGGTAAAAAGTTGCTTTCTCAGGAGAATGTGAAATTTGTTTATTTTCCACATTGAAACCAACTTGCTTTGATTAGAATGTAAGTCCTCTCCGAGTGACTGAGTTCCACCTGGCCCTCCATTCATGTGCTCTGCTGCAGATACCTGAGAGTGCCTAGCCCTGTTTTCCCGAAGTTCGGCATCCATGGCACCTGTTTGGATAGTGAGTTTTACATTCAAAATTTCAAGGAGGCCTCACAACTTAGTATAAATACAATGAAAAACAATGAATGTCCATATCAGTAGGAATAATATTGTTTGCAATATTTCATCATTCTACCACCAGTGTGTGTGTGCTTCTCCCCTCTCTTTAGGGGTGATAATAGTCCCTATCTGTAGGTGTTGTAAGGATTAAATGGAATGATGTATATAAAGTGTTTAGAACATTGCATGGTATGTCGTAAGTGTGCAATAATGCTGCCAAGTATTATTTCTCTGTATGTGGAGTGTATGAATGTAATATACATCTGTTTCTCTCTGGCTCAATCACTGTTGGACATTTTTTCCAGTCTTGCTATTATGACTTACGCTAAAATGTAAGAACCTTGCCTAAACATCATGAGGCACTCATCCAAGTATCTACCAACGTACTGTATGATCTAACTTATATGTGGAATCTAAAAGCCAAACTCAGAGAGTAAAATTGTTGGTTCCAGGGGTTGGGGGTGGAGCACATGGGGAAATGTTGGTCAGAGTATAGAATTTCATTTACTCAGGTTGAATAAATTCTAGGGATCTAAGGCACAACGTTGTGATTATAGCTTTCAATATTGTTTTATATACTTGAAGGTTGCCAAGACACCAGATCTTGAATGTCCTTACCACAAGAAACAAATGGTAATTAAATGATGGGAACAGAATGGAAGTGCTGGCTAAAGCTGGTGGCAATAATACTGCATTACATGTACCCAATTAACAGTGTACATCTTAAATTTACACAATGTTATGTGTCAATTCTATCAATAATGCTGGGGGAAAAAAGTTTTGAAAATTTTAAGTTGTGAAAACTTCATCACATTTCTGGTTTTCTTTTTACCTGATCTATGACATGGCAGAGATTTGCTCATGCAGTTTCATAGAGTGAGGAAGCTCTAGGCTACCTATAGATTACTGGCCATTTTTAGTTTTTAAGCATTTCTTTGTGGTCTATAGTTTGCTTGGAAAGCACGGAAACTAGATTTCATGTAATCATTCAGGAACATTTTAGGATATACATATACTTTTGCAGTAAGATAGGAAGCAGAATCTACCTGGCTCCGTGTGTCATTTCCCAACTCCCCCTCTCCACGCACAATTTCCTTCTAATTGCAGTAAATTCATTTTTAATCAAAGCAATGCACACATGTATAGTTTTAACAATCAAGTAATGAAAAAGGGCATATAATGAAAAGTAAATCCCTGCTCAATTTCTCAACTCTTCCCTAAGCCACAAAAACGTTTATAGTTTTAAACAAGTAATAAAAAAGGGCATATAATGAAAAGTAAATCCCTGCCCAATTTCTCAACTCTTCCCACAAAAACTTTTACATGTCTGTTTAGTGGTTACCTCCACTTTTCTTAATAATATGCTTTTATGACTATTTCTTGAATTAATGACATGAGGTATTTTCTCACTGACTTCCTGATGTCTCCCCCCTACCCCTTTCCTCCTCCCTGGATATGGCTGTGCCACTTTTCCGGTTTGTTGCCTACCTTCTTCACTTTAATAATATAATCCTGACACCAATCATTCAACTATCTGAACTTACTACTTTGAGAATAACACCACTATTCCATTTCTTCCCCTCTGCCTGCCAACTTGTTGCCTGGACTTTCACATTGTCCACGTTGCTAACATTCGCATAACATTCTATAACCATAATTAAGTCTTCCCTTCTTTGCCTACGACTTACTCTAAAAATGGAAAACCATTAAGTAATTATTTCCATTGTTATGATTATTTCAATATTGTCCACCGAACAGCAAAGTTGAAATGCCTACGACTGGATTTTCTCATCTGTGGCTACAGAGTCTTAGTCCACGTGCCAGTGTTCAAGCAGATTCCCTTTCTCACACTCCTGGCAATGTTCAAAACCAGGCCACATCTGAGGTTGCTTCATATTTGAAGCATGCTTTCCTTGTACTGTTTGAAATGACTGTTTTTTCCTGTAGTTTGTTTTCCATTGGTCTTTTTTCTTTTGGAATGAAGAAATGTATGCCTTCCAGATCATGTTATTTTCCTCCAGCTTCTATCTCAACCCCATCAATTGCTTAGAGTGCATTCCATTAATTTGGAAGTGTATTAACTTCTTATTCTAACTTGGAAGATTTGCCCCCGATTTGGACCATTCTTGTAGTTTCTTTCAGTTGTTAGTTAACTGCTCCTATTTTCCCCCCTTAGGACATCCTGGATTCATTGTCATTTCTTAACGTTCGTGCCGTTTTTTGTTTTATGGATGCAAGAACTTCTGAAGTATTTCTGAGGATTTTCTGAGTTTTAAGTTCTGTTCCTTGAAATAACTATTTCCTTGAGGGTCAACTTTTCGTTAGATTTTAGGCTTTTCTGGTTATATTGCAGGCTTTCTGCGAAGTGATTGAAAAAAATGAGGCACTGGAAAGACAGCCAGGCAGGTTGCCGGCGTTTGCGAGACGAGCGGGTCGCTTTGCTCTAGGGCGGGTGAGCTGGCGATGGAAGTCAGCCATCCTGCTGGGGGCCCCGAACGACACAAAGTTGCTCTAAATATGTACCTGCAGACGGACGTTGAGAATCACGGAGGCCACGACGTAGAAGTACGGGAAGTTCATGCGCAGCCGCCAGGCCAGGTCGAAGAAGGTGATCAGCGTGCGCGTGAGCCCCTTGCAGAAGGCGCGGTACGAGCCGCCGACCCCAGCCGAGCGCGAGAGCAGCACCGCCAGGCCCGACAGGGCCGCCGCTGGCGCCATCGGTCTCGGGGAGCTTTCCCAAACGGTGCTTAAAGCCCAGGGACTCCAGCCGCGGCTCGGACCCGCTGACCGTCGGACAGCGGGACGCTCCGGGGGGAATCCGTGCGGGGCTCTGGACGGCCGCAGAGGTGAGCTGCGCTGCCCGGGGGTGCCCTCCTTCCCCTGCAGCGCTCGAGCTGCGGCGATCGCTGGTGCGCCGGCGGGGCCCGCCGGACAGAGCTGCCTCGGGCCGGGCGGGGCGCCAGAGATGGCGAACCCCCGGACGGGGGAGAGGGACGGGGAGGGGGAGGGGCGCGCGGCTCTCCCTGACGCCGGTGGGCCCTTTTTTGTTCATTTTTAAATTTTAACGGAAGCAAAACGAAACTTGCTTAAAATGTTTAAAAATTTCCTTCATTAGCATGATCTTGAGCAGCTTAGAAGCTTGAACTCATCCTCAACTGTAAGCTAGTACAAATAATAAGAAACCTACGCATTTTCAGAACTTTAAAATGTATGCATTGTGTTTCAGTGATTCAAGTGACTTTTTTGTTTTAGATCTTTAGTATTCTTATAATGGGAAAAGCTATAACTAGGTTTTAGAAATTTTCAATTGCACAATTAGAACAATGGGAAGCAAATTCCCTGCTTAATGTCACACTCCCACCCTCCACCACCCCTCGCCCTGACCTGCTATCCCGTTTCCTGTGTACTCTTCCAGACTTGGTATGCTCCTATAGTGTTCCTACCATATCACTAATATACAACTACCTCACTGTCTTTGACGACTGATTATTACACCAATATATATGCTATTGATGTTCAATAACTGATTTAACCAGTCCCCTATTGGACACTCTGAATGTTTCCAGTTTTTCTGATGCCAAAATTTGTTGCAGTGAACACTTGCACTGTATACTTGAGTTTACAGGTGGCAGAAGAGTATGAACAATACAATCCTGTCTTTATTTATAAAACAATAATATAAACATATATATTTAGCTTCCGAGGTCAAAAAATTTTACTAGTACATGTGGTCAATCAAAAAGGTTTATAGACCAGGGCTTTATACAACATTGAGTGTTAAACTTGGAAAGGTTTTCGCCAATATGATAAGCAATAATTACTCATTATTCTTTTAATTTGCATTCATTTAATTATCAGTGAAGCTGAGCAACTTTTTAAAATTCCTTAATTTTTCAATATTGTTTTACTGATTGTTTCCAAAACATGAAAACATATAAATATGTATTATGAGAAAAGTAATATTCCTCAGATCAGAATCCCCAGAAAGACAATTAACAGATTGATATGTTTTTATCAGTTATTTAGATATGTTAATAAGCAAGGCATATATACATATATCACACACAAGTCACCAAACATAAGTGGAATAATACAAATACTGCTCTGACAATTGCTTTTAAACATAATGATATATCTTGCATATCTTTCCATGCTGACACCTCATAGACTGTGAATAACTTACGGATGGCCACTAATTAACTGGTGGGTTTCAAATTTTTCACAGTCATAAACTGTTGAAATTACTATCCTTGCATGCACTTCTTTGTACACTTCTCTGATTTCCCCTGGGATGCATTCCTTGAATTCTTGGATCAAACGTTTTTTATCTGTTTAAAGATTTTTTCTTTTTCTTTACTATCTATTGAAGAATAGTTGATATACAATATTATATTGGTTTCAAGTATATAGCACAATGATTCAACAGTTACACACATTATTGAATGCACACCCCAACTAGTTTAGTTATTATCTGTCAACATAGAAAGATGTTACAGAACTACTGACTATATTTTCTATGCTGTACTTTCATCCCCTTGACTAATTTATATTGTGATGGAGATTTTGTGCCTCTTTATCCCCTTCACCTATTTCACCCATCCTTCCACTCCTCCTCCCCTATGGCAACCACCAGTCTTTTCTCAGTGTCTATGAATCTGTTTCTGTTTTGTTGTTTTCCTTTGTGTTGTTTTGTTTAGATTTCACTTGTAAGTGAAATCACATGGTATTTGTCTTTCTCCACCTGGCTTATTTCACTGAGTATAATACCCTCTAAGTCCATCCATGCTGTTGCAAATGGCAAGGTTTGTTTCTTTTGTATGGCTGAATAATATTCCATTCCATATATGTACCATACTTCTTTATCCATTCATCTGTTGATGACCACTTTGGTTGCTTCCATATCTTGGCTATTATAAATAATGTCATGATTTATAAACATAGGGGTGCATATATCTTTTCAAATCAGTGATTTTGTTTTCTTCAGGAAAATTTCAAGTGGAATTGTGGCATCATGTAGTATTTCTATTTTTGTTTTGTTGAGGAACCTCCATACTGCTTTCCACAGCGGCTGCACCAATTGACATTCCCACCAACAGTGTAGGAGGGTTCCCTTTTCTCTGCATCCTTGCCAACACTTGTTATTTTTTGTCTTTTGGATAGTGGCCATTCTAACTGGTGGGAAGTGATATCTCACTGTGGTTTTGATTTGCATTTCCCTGATGATTAGTGATATGGAACATCTTTTTGATGTGTCTGTTGGCCTGCTGTATGTCTTCTTTGGAAAAATGTCTATTCAGGTCCCCTGCCCATTTTTTAATTAGGTTACTTGTTTTTTTGGTGTTGAGTCGTCTGAGTTCTTCATATATATTGTATATTATGTTTAAAGATTTTGATACATATCCTCAAACTGCCTTCTACACAGCTTGTACTAATATATCCATGAACACTTTCAACTTTGCTAAAAATGGGCATTGATGTTCTTTTAAATCTTTGATACTCTGGTGGGTAAAACATATACTTCATTTTAATTTTCATATATTGATTACTAGCAAAATTAGACACCATTTATATGTGCATATATCTTTGCGCATTTGTATGAAAGGAACTACTAAGTTGTGCACTAGTAGCTTTAATCAGTATTTCCAATTCCCGTGTAAAAGAGTTGTGCCAATTTCCACTCCCTCAGACAATGTATGAGGCTGTCCTTTTCTCCACCTCCTCACCTATATTTTTAAGCATTATTTTATGGTGGCTAATCTAAAAGCAAAGCATTCTCATTATTTTAATTTGCTTTTATTTGATTACTACTGAGCCTGAATATTATGTTTATTGGTCATTCATAGTGGTGTCAAAAATTAGGAGTACTGAGTAGAACTGATGACTGGTGGACAGGTGAAGGGCTTACAATGAACACACAGACTAAAGGGTCCAGGAGACCCCAGGGATGGGGGCGACAGCCAGGAAGAGGAGAGTCAGGCAGACCCCCACCCCTCCCCTGTCTGTCTGCCCCTCAGGCTGCCCAAGTTCCGGCCCCTTTGTTTATTTTTACATTAAACTTATGCCTAAGGCAAAAACAACAGCCTGAGTAGCCTGAAAATGATAAAATCTCAACCACAGCCCGAGAGAAACAGAGAGTAGATAAAATGGTGTTAAGTAATGCATTAAACAAAGTAAATGCCTCCTCCCTTACACCACATACCACACACTGAATATAAGATAGTAATGGGACAAAACTGCACAAGTCTTCTAGCTCTTCCTTTCCGCAGTAGAGTGCATTACACCTTGATTCTTCTCTCTGAAGCACCCACTCTTAATATATATATGAAGGGAATATATTTTTTAACTGCTATAGTGGGTAGAGATAATAGATTTAAATTTAATCAGAGGTTTTGTAGTAGAAGACACTGAATTGAATACAGGTGTTTCTGTCTCCAAGACAAATAGAAACAATTATAAAGAAGTGCAAAGTAAATTCACTCATAAAGCTAGTGGAAGGGGTGAGGATAGTGGGTCAAAGAATTTGATAAATTCCTGGAATGAATAAGATTGGCTCAAAGTGAAGAATAAAGCATAGTGGAGGGCACTGCAGCCAACAAATCTCAGGAAAAGGCTGTAGCAGAAGCAGAAGCCATTTTCATGAAGGAAGCAACCTGTACGGAAAACGCAAGTTCCATGGCCAGGATCCTCACCTGATACCCATCGTGTACAGGCAATGAGGTAATACTTAGCCTACTGCGCAGGTGCGTGCTTGCTTACCCGTTACTGCCAGTATTGCTATAAAAAGAGTTCCTCTGGTGCTAAGAGCAGAACCTAGAGAAGGGAGCAGGAGAGCGGAGAGCAGAGGCTGGAAGAGAGGGCAGAGCCTGAGACCGGCTTGCTGCCTGCAGAGGTAGATGTGATTCTAGCACATGACCTATCACGGTGAGAATAAACCTCTGTATGAGCCCCCTTTTACCCCCATGTTCCCTTGTCATTTTTTGGTCTCAGCGAATCCATAGTGAACTTGCCTGGAGCTGAAACCCTCAGGAGAGACACATCCCCATGCTCCAGGTATGGAGAGTGGAAGTGGGAAGATGACATTAAAGGAGATGACTATTTGAAGAATGACTAAGTTCACTTTCATCAACTTCCTTCCCTTCTCCCTGTCAGCTAGTGAAGGAGTTCATCTCCTGGATGAAAATGGACAGTGTTTCTCTAAAGAAATTGAGTGATGTGCCTGGAAAGAGCTAGGGCTCCATAATAGGGAGGAACACTTGGTGCCACAAATGGTTCCCCCTGCTGAATCCATGACTTTGCTTTGATGTTGCTGATCCCCTCATCAAGAGGTGCTCTGTTTTTGTCTTGAATCGTGTCACTTGCTTTGGTCAATGGGACAACAACAGTCCAAGCAAAAGCTAGAAAAGTGCTTATGTAGGGCCTGCACTCTTGCTGGTCTTGGAAACCTGCTGCCACCATACGGACAGGCTGGATGATGAGACTCATGCCCCAGTCATCTCTGTAGCTACAACTTGTGGCCAACCTACCCCTCAAAGTAGAGTTACCAAGACCACCACCAGCAGCTGACCGCAGACATGAATACAGCTGAACCCTTCCCAAACTGCCAACCCCCAATAGTTAACTAAAGAAATTGTTGCTGATTTTAAGCCTCTAAGCTTTGAGCAGTTTGTTTCACAGCAAAAGCTAACTGATATGCCCCCAGAATAGAATTACAAATAGAGTAGCAATCCGAATGGTTCAGTTCACAGTGATCTTTGGTGGTGATTAGTTAATCACGAGGATCCTAGGACTCAAATAGAAGCATAACCCATTTGACCAAAAGAGTCCTGGCAAAGAAAATGTTAGGTTGCCATGATACAATGTCACAGCCTTTCAGGTCATATACCCAGAGTCCCTAGGATGAACGGGAGACTGAATACCTTGAGGGAGGATGCTATGGTGATGTTATAG